CCACCCATCCATCCATCCACCCATCCATCCATCCATCCACCCATCCATCCATCCACCCATCTATCCATCCACCCACCCATCCATCCATCCATCCATCCAACCAACCAACCAACCATCCATTTGTCCAACCAGTTGCCCATGGAAGGGCAACCAGTTGCCTTGATGTTGACTTGGCCAGAAGGCAGACTCCAAATGCCTACCCCAGCTGAACTTTTCCCAGATGTTTGCCCCATCCTCTTCCACTAATCAACATTTATTCTAGCCTAAATCCCCAGGGGTGGTGTGTGGACCAGCACGAGCAGCACGGCCCTGGATAGACATACAGAGTCTGTGGCCCAGCCCCAATCTCCTGAATCAGAGCCTGCACTTTAACAAGGTTCCATGGTGATTTGTGTGCATGTCATTATTTGAGAAACTCTGCTCTAGATTCTGGAATCTAGGACATTTTCTCCAAAGTCAGTTAGGAGATGGGGCAAAAGTTTCTAGAGAAGACAGTAAGCCTAGGGCAGGAGGGACCCCCTCTCTTAAAGGGATGTGGCCCCTGGCTTTGGAACATACCAGTGGTGTCTATCACATCCCCAGCCTCAAGGACCCCCATGGCTGTCTGACACCTCTTTCCTTGGCTTTGCTCTCTCAACACCCCTCTCCAGACCAGTGCCGTCCACACACCCAGGAGCAACTCACCCAGAGCATTGTAAGCAGGCAGCACCTTGAACGTGATGTTCTGCGATCTTGTGGACAGCTGTAAGATGAGCCCACTGGGGGACTTCTGGACCTCCATTTTGGCCGGCATCTTCCTGGCGAACTGACACTGTGTCAGACATAGCCAGAGCTTGGTGAGGATTTCATCTTGGTTTTTTTTCTGATCCTGGAACTGTTCAAAGTCACTGACAAAGATGACAATTGTCCCATCGGAGTTGCCCCTCAACATCGTTTCTCTGCCATAGGAGCCGCCCTGCCAGTGACAGAGACACAGATGTGAGACTCTGGACCCTCTGGGGTCACCGGATGCCCCAGCAGGCCTTAGTATTTCTCAAATCCAGCCAAAGCCAAAAGTGTCACCAGAGTCTTAAAATCGAGTGGCAGGTGTCCTTTTGTCCGCCCAAACACCTGAACGAGGTTGCCCGTCGCAGCACCTCTCATACGAGCCTCAATGGGAGGCAGCTCAAGCGGCGGTCAGCAGGAGGAGGGACAAAGGCGGTGTCCTCGCACCCTGGGACACTTCCCAGCGTCGAACTGATAAACACACGCTCACACACGACAACGTACATTTCCTAAACAGGATGGGGTCCAAGAAGCCATGCAGTAAAGCTACACTGGGCATGATTTCCTTCATATTCTGTAACCAGCCTGTCTGGTTTTCCCAGGACATTCCCAGTCTCAGCACAGAAAACCCCTCAGTCCCAGGCAGACCAGCACAGTTGGTCACCCCACAATTACGCAAAGTTAAAAAAACAAACAAACAAACAAACAAACAAGCAGCAAAACGAAACTAGGCTGTCAGAAGTCTGGAGAGTGGTTAGGGGAGGACTAGGGGTCCCGGGGACTGGATTGAGGGTCCTCGGGCTCTTGAGGCTGGGAACGTTTCCTTTCTCCACCTGGGCGTAGGTGACACAGGTGTGTTGTTTGTGGCAATCCATCGGGCTATACACTCAGTTAGGAAAAACTGAACCATACTGAGAGGCGGTGGTTCAGGGCGCGTGCAACCAAGCAGACTATTTGGACTGAAAGCCCAGCTCGGCCTCCAGCTACTAAGTCACTTCCTTGTGCCTCAGTTTCCTCATCTGGGCCAAGGCCAAGGGATGCCAGGTATCCAGGCGTCTTTACTGCCGGGGCTGTTGCGCATGCATGAGGCAGATGCCAGGAGGCACGGTTCGTGCGGAGAAATGGGGCTCTGGGGCTGGCGGACCCCTAAGTCCCTCCTACCCTATAGTCCTGGCACTTTTCCCAGCACCTTTCCTCCCCCTAAAGCCCCGGATCTTCAGCCTCTGCCCTGGGATTTGTACCGCCAGCACCAAGCATTTCTACTTGATAAGACCCACCCCTTCCTGCCATTGAGAAACCACAGAGCGATCTTGGGGTAGTTTCACTGCATCTCCCAGCCTCAGTCACTGCTCTGTGACATGGGGAGGATAGAAACAACGATGGAGAGGAATCACAGCTCATTTACCAAGGACTAACTAGGCCCCAGGCCCCATACTAAGAACATTATATGCTTAATCCTCATTTCAGTCTGAATTTATTCTTCCTCTCCCGTTTTTCAGACTCAGAGACTGAAGCACAGAGAGGTTAAGCAACCTGCCCTGGGGCACACAGCAGTCAAGGCAGAGCGCTCCTACTCCTGTGCTCCATCACCTCCCTCGAGGGTGGGGAGGGCAAGTGGATGTCTTGGTCACCCAAAACCTGTCACCCGGAAGGCACTCAGCACCACGTCACTCCTCCTTCCGATGGCCACGGAACCTCAGGGTCCCAGCAGCCCAGACCCCCAGCCTTCCACTCACTTTGACCACACTTATCGTGGGGGGGATCTGCTCCGTTTCCTGCAGAATGGCACAGATGGCGTTCACCGTGTCATGGATCTGTCTCTGACACTCTTCATAGGGCCTCAGGGAGTTCTCGATCAGCTCGTCCAGCTTCTCAGGCTGCACGGAGTACAGATGCGACCCCCAGATGCCCATTGCTCCTGCTGGCGGCAGTGGTGTCGGGGGTGGAAGGGAGAGGAGAAGGAGCCACTCCCTTGCTTACAGCCAGGAAACCAAAACTCACATTCAAGAACCAGGAAACTGCAAATGACCCGGGGGAGAGTCTAGAAACCGAAACTCACAGAATGCTCCCAGCTGACTTCCTTGTTGAGATTTCTGCCCACCCCCGCAGGGTGGGCTCCTCCCTGGGCGTCCTTTTTTTTTTTTTTTTTTTTTAGATTTTATCTATTTATTTGAAAGAGAGCCAGTGAGCAGAGAGCATGAGCAGAGGGGAGAGGGAGAAGCAGGCTCTCTGCGGAGCAGGGAGCCTGATATGGGACTCGATCCCAGGACCCTGGGATCATGACTTGAGCGGAAGGCAGACACTTAACCAAATGAGCCACCCAGGTGCCCCATCCCCTGTCCTTGTACTTAAACAGACTCTGGAGCCCCCTTAGGATGGCTTGATCTATGCTAGCATGTCCTTGAGCACCTTGCCTGCTCTATTTGTGCCTCAACTTGCCCATCTGTGAAATGGCATAACAATGGTAGTTCTCTCGTAGGGTTCACGTTAGAATGGGGAGGGGGCACTTGGCAAATGCTATTTAAGAAGTTGTTAATCAAATTAGCTTTTGCAGGGGACTGAGGTCATCTCGTGGGGCTCTTTCCCTTCTCCCCTCGTTAAAAAACAAAATTCAGTGGCATAAATTTGAAGGTCTAATTGGCTTCATTAAGTGCTTCATAAATGGGGCAGCATCCAATCTAGAAAGTAGAAAGAGCTCCAGAAGTTGTTGCATGATGGTTTTCATCGGGAGGAGGGCGGGACAAGAAGCTGGTAACAGGAAAAGAGAGGACAGTTCAGACCCCTTTTTGGGGCCCAGGGACTGGGCCGGCCGCGTGTTTATCCCGCAGATGACATCCCTAGTGTTCCTGGGGAAATCTCGGGCTGACCCTTCAAAGGTCACATTCCAGGCATAGGTTAAAACTGTAATTAAGGGGGCGCCTGGGTGGCTCAGTGGTTGAGCATCTGTCTTCGGCTCAGGTCATGATCCCAGGGTCCTGGGATCGAGTCCAGGGCCTGGGAAGTCTGAGTCCATGAGAGCAGCAAGGAGAAAGGGATCCAGAGAGGGGACTGGTTTGCTTAGGGACACACAGAAAGGCGAAGTCTGAGCCGGACGCAGGTTCTAATTCTGCTGCTGGGTGATGTGGGACTCAAAGGCAGAAGGAAATGTAGATAAAATTAAACACCTTCGAATCTGCAGCCTGACAAACTCTTGAGGAGGCGGGCGGAGTATGGGGTTCCTCTGGGAAACTCCCAACTGGCTTAATGCTAATGCTTTGCTAGAGGGAAGCGCCACCTGAGTTTGACAATGTCAAGGCCTCCAGGATGCTCAGTCTTCTTCAGCATATGAAATCCTCGGGGGGACACCGGACTGGCTCAGTCGGTTAGGCAGCTGCCTTGGTCTCAGGTTGTGATCTCAGGGTTCTGGGATGGAGCCCAGCATCGGGTTCCCAGCTCAAAGGGAGAGCCTGCTTCTCCCTTACCCTCGGCCGCTCCCCCCTGCTCGGGCTCTCTCACTTTCTCTCTCTTTCAAATAAAAAATAAAATCTTTAAAAAAGAAGGAAAGAAAGAAAATTGGTTTGGAATTTCCTTAGTTTTACTTTCCCGAACCCCAAAGAATATAATCAGTCACCCCTCACAATCCCAGGGCAGCCCCTCTTCCTGCCCAGGGGTCCTGTCCCTGTGCTTTAATAAAACCACCTTTTTTTGCACCAACAACGTCACAAGAATCCTTTCTTGGTTGTTGGCTTTGGACCCCACCAAACACACCAACATCTCACAGCTACATCCCTGGGCACATAGAGGTCCCAGACTGGTCAGCAGGTGGGAGCATCATCCCTGGGCACATAGAGGTCCAGGACTGGTCGGCATGCTTGTGGATACTTGTGGGGTCTCAGCACATGCTTGCCTGGCCCAGGAAGGGTGGGACATGGGCCTAGGGTTGCATAGGCCAAAGGGGAGACATATGTGCAAGTCCATTCGGAGCTCTATGAAAAATGAAAACCCCCAGATGGCTCCCACTGGCTCTCTCCATCTAGCAATAAAAAGTAATGCAGAAGGCAAAAATTTCCTGAGATGTGGGAAGAACAGGGCCCTTCTCTGCTGTGATGATTAATTTTGTGTGTCAGCTTGGCTGGGCCATGGCATGCAGATATTTAGTCAAACTTTATTCTAGATCCTTCTGTGAAGGTCTTTTTTTGTGTTTTTTTTTCTTTTCCCCATGAGATTAACATTTTAATCAGTAGACTTTGCATAAAGCCGAAGACTTTCCATAACACGGGTGGGCCTTGTCCAATCAGTTGAAGGCCTTCATAGAAAAAAGACTGCCCTCTCCTGAGGAAGAAGAAAATTCACCAGCAGGTGGCCTTCAGACTCAAGCTGCAACATCAACTTCTCTCTGGGTCTCCAGCCTCCCCACTATGGAATTTGGACTTGCTAGCGTTCACAACAGCCAGAGCCATTTTCTGAATTAGATCTCCACACTGCATTGGTCCTGTTTCTCTAGAGAATCTTAACTACCACACCCACCCTGAAAGCTCCTCTTCTTGTCCTTAGGACTGTTCTTGCCACATATAGAGGTAGGCTGGTCAGGGATCAGTAGGCTCCTTTTCTAGAGGAGAACAGGAAGGCGAGGAATGAGAAGTGGGAAGTCCCACAGCTCGTAGGTTGTCTGGTTAGGCTCTCACTCCACAGGACCTGATTCCAAAGTCCATGCTTTATTATTATTTTTAAAAATTTTATTTTGAAATAATTTGAAACCCTGAGAAAATGTGCAAGATGAGTATAAAGAAATCCCTTATGCCCTTCCCCCACAATATTCAGCACATCTGTTCCTCATTCTCTCCACGTGGACATCTTACCGGTATCACACAGTCCTGTTTGAGTGCGTGTTGCAGATATTGTGCCCGTTTTTTCCTATTTTCTTAAAGATTTTATTTATTTATTTGAGAAAGAGAACGAGAGACAGAGCACAAGCTAGGGGGAGAAGCAGAGGGAGAAGCAGACCCAGACTTGGGACTCGATCCCAGGACCCTGGGATCATGACCTGAGCCGAAGGCAGATGCTCAACCAAGTGAGCCACCCAGGCGCCCCATCTCTCTCTTTTTTAAAATAGACTTTGTTTATTTATTTATTTATTTATTTATTTTTAAAGATTTTGTTTATTTGACACAGAGAGAGAGAGAGCACAAATAGGCAGAGAGGCAGGCAGAGAGGGAGAAGCAGGCTCCCTGCAGAGCAGAGAGCCCGATGCAGGGCTCGATGCAGGGCTCGATCCCAGGACCCTGAGATCATGACCTGAGCCGAAAGCAAGAGGCTTTAACCCACTGAGCCATCCAGGCGCCCCTAGATTTTGTATTTCAAAGTAAAGTTAAGCAGAAGGCCCAGAGATTTCCTAGAGACCCCCTGCCCTCCTACGCACACCCTCCACCACTATCAACACCCCCCCCACCTCAACTGGAATGTTTGTTTGAACCAATGAGCCTATGTTTACATGTCAGTATTGCCTAGACCTCGTTCCTCTTAAATATTTCAATATATATTCCCTAAACATATGGATATCTTGTTACATAAACACAGAGCAGTGATGTGATTTAGAATTTTAAGATTGATATGATGCTATCCTTTTTCATAGCACGTATAAAGAATAGATCCTTATATTCAAATTTTAATAGTTATTCTAGTACTGATCTTCACATCCTCCTCTGCCCGCTGTCCTCACCCCACTCCAGGATCACACGGAGTTGTCATGGGTCCCAGACGGGACTCCTGGGAAGCGCTGGGGAAGGGACGGTGTCATTTGGGGGGAAAGTTCCCTGTGTCCTAATTATCTGTCTTTGAAGTATTTTGATGGTGCAAATTGAGTAGTTCCCTGGTTTGTGACCCATTTAGTCTGCTCCTAGGGACGCCCTATTTTACGAGCAGCTCTTTAACTCTCTGGGGCTCAGGGCCTCCCTGCTGCCCCCTCAGCCCTACCTCTCACAGGATTGTGTCCACCTAACGGGTCAGTGTTGTCTCGTAGCTGATGTCAGTTCAAGATTCCCCCATCCCCAGCGCTATTCGGGGGACCGTAACGATGTCTTCTGTGGAGGGGGCCACTCGAGCTTCCTAGTGATGCTGGCTCTGCTCACTGGCCTGTTCCTCCTGGCCTCGATGAAGGTGTCTTCTCTGCTTTTCCATGGGTGATGATTTGGTGGCTCTTCTGGCCTTATGTGGCATACCCCGCCCCCGCATGCCCACCTCCCTGACCTTCGAGCCCCATCACCCCCCTCCTTCAGGCAATATTGTCACTGAGCTCTCACCCAGCTCGGCTTTTATTCACCTTTTCCATTTTTCTAGAAGCTTTGCTAGCAGCGAGCTTGCCCCTTCTCCTGGGCTCCTGGCCAGGGTATGAAGTCCTCAGTTCCATGTGGGATTTCCAAATCAATAAACTCTTCCTCATCCCGTCTTACACCGGGGGGTCCACTCCCAATCACACCCACCTGGCTTTCCTTGGTACGCGCTGGCTGGGTTTTCCGGCTGTTTGGGGTACCGGTCCATCCGTCCCTTATTCAGCCCAGCATCCCTGGCTGGGCTGTTCTGGGACTTCACCCCAGTTCTAGGACCACCGGGCAGGAGGGGACATGGGTGCAGTTCACAGGGCAGGGGGATGATTTATAGAAGAGAGGCGTCTGCAGGGTCTCCTTGTAAGGCGGGAGGTGCTAGCTTTTAACGGGAGGGGAGCAGCTCTGAGGGTTCAGAGGAATCTGGGGAGTCCAGATCTTCAGGGTCTCCAGCCCTTATGTCCCCAGGGCTGCGTGTCAAGATTCCCATTCTTTCCCAACCAGGGTCCTGACCTTAGTTAGCAGACCCGATTACCCGCTAGGGGGCGCTATCATCAAAACGACAGACAATAGCAGGTGTTGGGGAGGATATGGAGAAGCCCCCCTCACTGCTGGAGGCGGGGTGAGTGGCACAGAGCCAGGGGACTCGTTAAGGTGGGTCGTCACCGTTAAACCTGGAGTTGTACAAGCCAGCGATTCCACTTCTGGCTAGATACACCCAAGAGAAAAATACATGTTTGCATAAAATCCCTTGCCAACATTCATAAAGGCCAAAACGTGGAAACAGTCCAAACGCCCACCAGGGGATGACTGGGTAAACCCAGAGTGGTCTCTCCACCCAGTGGAATATCGTCCAGTAACAATAAGGGGGAACCAGGGACGTAGAAGCTCCCACACCACGCGGACGGACCTTGAGCACGTGCTGCTAAGTGAAAGAAGCCGGACACAAAAGGACAAATACGGTGTCATCTCATTTGTAGGAAGTGGCGATAATAGAGTCAGGAAGCAGATGAGTGGGTGGCCAGAGATTGGGTTGGGAGGGGCCGCGGGAATGCAGAGTGAGTTCTGATGGATTTCAGGTTTCCCTTGGAGCTGGTGAGAATGTTCTGGAATCAGGATAGCAGATGCCCCTTGTGACATGGCTCACCTGGTGAGTATCCTAAATGCGAATTTCGTGACTATCCCCAAACCACTGAGCTGTTCCCTTTATAAATCAAGATTCACCGTGTGTGAATTACATGTCAAGGATGATTTTTTTAAATTAAAAATTAAATTAAAGCATTAAACAAACAAACCTGACACTTTCTTTGGAGTCTTGCTTTGCGCACGTGCTGCCTTTCTGGACAGGGTCCTCATTCTCCCCCACTCTCCGGCCGCAGGAGATGGAGCCTCTGTGAGCTACCGGGGAGGACCCCTGACTCTGCGGGGCTCACAATGGCTGATTGATCACATTTAGCTTTTCATTATTTTTATCCCCTAAGTCTTCCTAGTAAGGTTTTTTTTTTTAGATTTTTATTTTTATTTATTTGACAGACAGAGATTACAGGTAGGCAGAGAGGCAGCCAGAGAGAGGAGGAAGCAGGCTCCCTGCTCAGCAGAGAGGCCGATGCGGGGCTTGATCCCAGGACCCTGAGATCATGACCTGAGCCAAAGGCAGAGGCTTTAACCCACTGAGCCACCCAGGCGCCCCAAGGTGTTTTTTTTTTTAATTAATATATAATGTATTATTTGCTTCAGGGGTACAGGTCTGTGAATCATCAGTCTTACACAGTTCATAGCACTCAGCATAGCACATAACCTCCCCAAGATTTTATTTATTTATTTGAGAGAGACAGAAATAGAGAACACGAGCAGGAGGAGCCACAGAGGGAGAGGGAGAAGGGGAGAAGCAGACTCCTGGGTGAGAAGACAGCCCGATGCGGGGCTTGATCCCGGGACCCCAAGATCATGACCTGAGCCGAAGGCAGACGCTTAACCGACTGAGACACCCAGGTGTCCCCTCTCCCAGTAAGTTTTAATACTGCCTGGGCTACTCTCTCCTCAGAGCTCTTTTTTCCTGCATTATCTGAACTTTCCTTGCATGTGTATGTTTCCTTAAGACCTTTAGTTCCAGAGAAAAGTGCTTGTGGGCATTTTGGGGAGTATCTCTAGGATCATTAAATGTAGAAATCAAGTTGGTACTGACATCAAGTTGGTACTGGCTAAGCCCTCGAAAGTCATGGTGGGGTCACTATGTCAATACCAGCGTGGTCATTGTCAAAGAACAAGGAGCTAAAGTAGAATAAAAATCCCCGCAGGGATCAGCCCAGCCCAGGTGACAGACAGGTCCTCCTTACCTCCTGCCTACTGGGGCTACCTCAATTCCCACCATCTCACAACTCCCCTCATTCAAGAGCCATTTTGTTGGGGCGGGGGAGCTAGAGTCTGTGCCATGAAGATGGGAATTACCGAATTTAGACCCGTCACTGGTTCCACCCAGGACGAGCAAGGTCAAGGCCAGGTCCTCACCTGCTGGGGCATGCTTGGCAGGGCAGGTCTCTGCGGCCCGCAAGCATCAGTCCTGAGCTCTGGGGACTGGCCAACCACAAAGGTATGACTTGGGGTCCTGAGAGTCCCACCCCCAGATACGCAGTCAGTGAGGTGAGTCTGAGACTTTATTAGCACCATGTGCCCTCACACTAGATGGGGGCGCACAGGAGGTGCTGGTGGGCTTGGCCTCTGAGACTTCCCTATAGTCCCAGGGGCAAAAGAGGAACTGCTCTTGGGCACGGTCTCCCTCCCAGAGAGCCGATCTGACGTACTCTGTTAGAGCATGCCCAGCCACAGGCCATGGGGAGTCAGGCTCGCTGAGACCCGCGGGGGGCACGCAGGGGATGCGTGGGGGCTCCTTCCCTTCTGTCTCCTCCTGCTCCTCCCCCTGGGATGGACCACCTGCTTACCCCCCGCAACAGACATTCACAGTGCATCTGCTGGGGCTGCTGTCCCTGACTCGGGCTGTCGGCACTGGGCATCTGCTCTGCCCTGTGCTACAGTGGGTGGGAGACGCAAGCCCCCTCCAGTCTGCCCTGTTGTCTGAGTTCTGGCTGTATCTAGACCGTTCTGATGGAGGTGGACCGGAGGCATCTTCCTGCCGTACTGGGGGCCAGCAAGCCCTGAGCGATGCCTGTGACCACCAGAGCCCACGTTCTGGTGAGTGTGAGCGTCAGTGGCAGCAGTGGCCTCCTGACCTCTGTTTCAACCACGTTGGTCTAATCTTGACGCCAACAGTCTGGTCGCGGTCCCCACCCTCCGTTCCTCCAGACCACCCAGGGATTTAGATGGAAGCCCTTTCTGCTTACAATTCTTGGACTGTTTTGTTTTCCCTGCTGAGCCGTGACTAAGAGGGACACTGTTGCTGGCCCAGGGGTCCCTTGCATGGACCCAGTGCCTTTGCTCTGAGGTCACAGAGAAGCAGGCTGAGCACTGTCGTTGGCGCACTGGTTCATGTCCAGGCTCTGGGGATGGAGAATCCCACTGGTGATGCGCCCACAGGCCAGGAGAGAAGACAAAAGCCCAGTAAAAATTCAGGAAGGCAAACAGGGCATGGTCTCGGGATGCGCACGCGGGGAATGAGTGCAGCAGGAAGGGGCAAGAAAATCAGGCTCTGGCAAAAAGGCAGTCAGGCATCCCTTGAGAGGGGCTGCATGGTACACGTGCCCCACTCCGTGTGTGACAGATAAAATTAGCCCACATAGCATGCTCTTCTGCCAGCGGCTGAGCTCAGAGAGCAACTCGGGAGCTTAGCCATACACTGTAGGCCCGTGAGCACATTCTTCCTGCATCCAGGCCAGACACTGCTAATCAATCACAGCATCACGCCGTGACTTTCCTTTGCTGCGTCCATGGCAGACATCACTAGTTGATTAGGTCACTCTTCCCAGGTATGTATCCGTTCTCCAGAATCCTCCAGGACACAGGGCTCCAGGCAGCCACTAGCAAGGGACTATGGCTGACAAAAGGCATGAAGACTGTCCTTTCTGTGAGAAGCTGTTGGACTGGGGAAGAAGGAGAGGCCACTGGCAGGACAGGGAGGGGTTTCAGCAGCAGACATGAGCTAGTGTGGACAGGCACAGAAGTCGAGAAGGAGGAGGACATTCTCAGCGGGGGCAGTGTGGGATGCAACCGTCGCTGTCCGAGAGCAGAGGCATGGCAGGGAGGCTGGGAACCCAGGCTGCTGCCCAGCCCACAGACCCACAGGTATCAGGTGGGTAGGCTGCACAGAGTAGGAGGAGAGCACGGAGTGGGGAGGCTGGACGGAGAGGCTGGATCAGTCTCTCTGTCTCCCTCCCTCTCTCTCCCCCTCTCTCTCTCTCTCTCACACACACACACATCTGGTAGGTGTCCCTGAGTTTCCTCATGCCGAGGGCTGGTGTCCTTCCATCTATCTGGTACAAACATGGACTCTGGCCTTCACACAGCAGCCTGGGGCAAGGTGGCAGAAGAAGCTGGTTAGCCCTAACCTTCCCGGTGAAGCTGAGACCACAGGGACAGCCATTGTACAGGGCAGGGGGTGCACGTGGGGCCACGGTTAGGCTTGCCCCTCTGGCCGGAGTCCTGGCCTTCCCTGAGCATGCTGTCCCCAACGAAGCCTGCCCCTGCTGCTCCACTGCTCTCCTACCTTCACTGGCCATGGTCGGATGGGGGTGCCGTCCCTGCTCATGCAGCACAGGGCAGACATGTAGGCGGCGGCTTCCTCAGCCAGCAGGTCCCAGCGGGCATTGTGGCCGAGATTGCCCGTCGGGTCAGCCGGATCCAGGATGATGGGCCTGCAATTGCCATTAGAGTCAGGCTTATTCCTGGTCACATCGGGGTGTCTCCTGAGAGATTGGTTGGACTAGTCTCCTCCCTCAGCCAACACTCTGCACGGGCCACTTCTCCCATCTGCATCAGGGCAGACATCACTAATCGATCACTGTGTTCATCTGGGCCACACCCTGGCCCTAGGTAGCTGGCATCTGTAACTGATCATGGCACCGGTCCTATCACCCTCCCTTTCTATATCTGTGACAGATGGCACCACCTCAGAGTCTTTTTCAGCACACCATGCTAAGTTACCCACAGGCTGGAGGTGTGAAAGCATCTCTGCTCTCTCTGCACCATTTGAGAGGGAGGCAAAATCCCAAAGAATAAGGCATGCCTACATTATTACCTGGTGGGTTCCCCGGTAGGGCTGCCAGATTGAACAAACACAAGCAGAGGATGCCCAGTTAAATTTGAGTTTTGAGTAAACATAAGTCTATCCCCAATGCTGCATGGGATATACTTATCCTAAAAAGTGATTCCTTGTTTATCTGAAATTCGTACTTGACTTGGAGCCTTGCATTTCATCTGGCAACCCTATTTACGGGGGATGAGGAAACAGACTGCCTGTCCCCCAGGTGCTAAAGGGATCCCGGTTAGAAAGGAGCTCAGTCTTAGGAAGAGGATTTTGCTCTCCCTGCTCTGTGCCCTCCGGATGTGGGAGAGTGAGCTACCCCATCTCTGAGACCCCGTGATGGGGAGGAAGGACCAGCACCTGGGCTGCCGAAGCTGCCGGTTCAGGAAGTCTCTGACAGTCTTGTCCTTGTCGTTGTAGTTGACGGTCCAGTAGACACAGAGTTGGTGGTACTGGCTGACCAGCTCTAGGACAGTGCGGAAGCCCTGGGCCATGTTGAACTGGGGGTCCCGGCCGCCCTGCTCCCAAGCGTATACCGTCAGGAGTTCCAGCCCATGCTGGGGGGGCAGGGAGCCTCTCCCCTTGGGCATCTTGTTGCACTGGGGAATAAGGGGAAAGAGGATGTGCTGGTTCACACTGGCAATGAAGAGGAGCAGGAGGGACCCTTCCAGAGCTGGAAAGCCCACCCCCAAATTTTATGGGGCACCGCCACGTGTCAGATGCCTGGCCGGGCATTATCCCTTCAAGTCCTGTGACGTAGTAGTGACACCAGTCCAATTCTCCAGATAAGCTAACTAAGGTCCCCCGGGCTGGGGAGTGCCACTCCTTCTGCTCCACCAATCCAGGGTTCTGGCCCCTGCCCCCGCCCAGGACCTCGATGGGAAGGTTGGTGGTGGGGGTGGGGGTCCTCACGCCGTACCTGCCGGTACCAGTATTTCACCAGTCGGATCAGACTCTTGAGCTTGGTGGGCCGAGAGATGATAAAGTTCCGCTGCAGCTCCGTGAAGCAGGTGGAGAACTCGCCCGCGTGGTTATAGCTGTGGATGAGGTCGACGTAGACTTGAGATGGGGGCCTGTAGCCGGGGACCAGCTGGCCTGGAGAAAGGGAGGAGGCCACCATCAGCTCATTCCCCAGAGTCCTGCTGGGGCCAAATGAGCAAGAACGTCCAGGACCTCCTACTTGGGCATCTCCCTAACAGCTGGGCTGGGACCCTCTGGGGGATGGCGGGAAGTCCCAGGGTGATTTTAGATGGAGCACAGACATGGCATGACCCAGCATTAAAATATCTTATTTTCCTTCCTGTCCCCTTTCAACCCTTCCGTTTACCTATCATGAGGAAAGTCTCAGCTGGGAGCTAACACATCCCTAAGGGCTCTTGGATGCTCATTCATGCATCTCTAACTAAGGGAGAGCCTGGGTCTCAGAGCTCCTGGTAGGACCGCATGCAGCGAGCTGACGTCACCCTTTGGTTTCATTGCCCTTAAAGGCATTCCTTGACATTCAAACTCGTGCTTTCTGGAGAACCGTGTAGCTTTGGATGCTTTTCTGGATGAATCCCTTCCTTGTCACTTGTTTTCCCAACCTCAGGAACCAAATACATTCAGATACAGGGGACGTCCTCCTGCAAACTCGCTGAGGCAAACTCAGAACTGAACCGATACTAAGAGGTCTGTGTCTGTTGTGTTCAGGGCTTTATCCTCAGTGCCTGGAGAATGCTGGGCACATACTCGGCATGTTTACAGAACTCATGGATCCTACGGGTCCATGGCAGGTGGAGGAGACGGCGCACAGGTATGTAAAGACAGGATGCAGGGCGATACCCTGATACCTGCATCATCAGGTGAAGGAAGACCTTGGTGCTTGAGGCAGGGAAGTCCCTCACTCAAGGTCAAGCACCATGTCGGTGCAACTGCTGACACTAGGACCCAGCCCAGAGCCACCATGAGGCCACATAACACTGTTGCATGAATTCGAGAAAGGTGTCCTTTTCTCCAGACACTCTGCAGGAGGGTGATGATAAACATGCCTATGTATAAGGCCTATGCTGTGAGCGGGTGTGCTCTGGTTGTGCAATGCACCACCCCAAATACCGTCCTTGGCAGCCCAGCCTCCGTTTTTCCCCTTCTCAAGACTATGCCTGGGTACCTCACCTAAGGCGTCAAAGGCTGGCAGCACATCAAAGTCCACACTCTGATCCAGCATCGTCTGGGACGTCAGGGAGAAGCTCAGCACACGGGAATTCTCCCACTTGGGGATCTCGAACTTCACCTCGAACTGCATCTCCTGCTGACATGCCTCCAGCTGGGCTCGGATCTCTGAGATGACCTCAGTCCGCTTGGTGCCCTGCTCAGTGAACTGGCTGAAGCAGTTGAGGAACACCACTAGATCCGCATCCGAGCGGCCTCGCAGAGCCGTGCCTTTGGCTAAAGAGCCGCCCTGGGGAGGACACAGAGGTGGCTTGACCCCTGAAGGGCTCCTGCTAGAGCCTGTGGTTCAGAAACTTGCTGTGTGACCTTGGACAAGTCACCTAACCTCTCTGTTTTACCTCTTTCATATGGGGTTAATATGTAGTATGATTATGAGGAAAAGAAATGTGCAAGACAGAAGTTTAAACCTTTCAACAAATGTAAACTTTCTCATCCCATCAAGTTTGGGGGCTGGGAGAGATCTGAGAGATTTTTTTTCTTTTTTTTTTTTTGGCCTGTGGCTCTCAAGCCTATCTGCATCAGGAGAGTTTTTTTTTTAAAAATGACTGATGTCTGGCTCCTATGCCCCGGAGACTGTGATTTCATTGGCCTGGGAGGGAGACTGGGTATCACTATAATTTTTTAAGTGGCTCTAAGTGAGGCCATGGTGGACAACCAGTGAACCAGGTTATCATCTTCAAGTATTATGGATGAGAAAGATAAGGATCAGAGAGGGGAAGGTATTTGCCTGAGGTCACACAGCAAATCACCAGGGACTTTTCATTGACTGACTCCATGCTGACCATCTTCTGGAGCTGACCTGGGTCTCACTTGTGACTTCAGTTGTGGACTGAGGTTGTATCTGATATAGTGGATAATGTGACTTCTTAACACAGAGCATCCCTTCTGTCTTCTGGGATCACCATTCCAGTTTTCTCTGGGGAATCACTCCTCCCCCACACTCAGGTCCATGTGGAGAGGACTCCATCATATGAGCCAGGCTTGGCCAGTCAGAGCATGTCTCCCTGGCCCGCCGGATTAGTTTGGGGATGGGTATAAATCCCAGTCAGGCCAATGAGACTCAATTCCAAGACTTCTATTTGAACTTTAAGAAAATAGAATTCCCTTTTCTGGAAGTTTAGAGATGCCAAGGACCATCATATGGAAAGGGCCTGTCCAAAACAGAAGATGGCAGAGCCAAGAGCTGGGATGAAACGCTGAGTCCCGATGACCCTGCATGGACTCCAGGTTCGAACTGTTCCTGATAGGACTTTCCATTTGCATCAGCTAATATATATTTTTTTGTTCCTCCTTGAGTTAGTTGTCACAAGCAACCAAAAGAGATGCGTTGGACATGTCTGGGTCCTTTCTCTGCCATCCACCCACAACCACATTCTGGTTTCTCTTCTAGGCTTGGCCTTGTGCTGATTGTCGTAAGGATGATAGAAGTGAGTCAGGCCAGGCCCCGGTCTAGGAAAGATCACCAGCCTGCAGGACCCTCCTTGCCCACAGCTCTCTGGGGACTTACCTTGACCACCTTGAGCACTTTGATGGCAGAATTCCGGAAGCAGTTTTCCCTCAGGAATGAGCAGATGGCATCGACGGCCTTGTTCACCTGAGCCAAGAACTGGCGGTTGGGCTGGAGAAATTCACCGATGAACTTGTCAAGGTCCCCAGCTGGGGTTTGGTAAAGGAGAGCAGGCTGTGGAAAGAATCCAGGTAGGGCCAGCTTGAGGCAGGATTCCCTGTGACTGTCCTGGCCCTAACTCTTGATATCCTAAGCGGATGAGACTCTCACTATCTCCCATAACCTTTTATTTTCTCAGCTGGTTGGTAGGTCTCTGTGGTAGCATCTGCAGGACCTGAGTTCAAGTTCTGGATCCACCACCAACACACAGCCTTGGTGTCCCCACTTTGTTTATTTATTTTTAAAGATTTTATTTATTTATTTGACAAGCAGAGATCACAAGTAAGCAGAGAGGCAGGCGGGGGCAGGGAGCAGGCTCCCTGCTGAGCAGAGATACCATTGCAGGGCTCGATCTCAGGACCCTGAGATCATAACCTGAGCCAAAGGCAGAGGCTTAACCCACTGAGCCACCCAGTCACCCGGTCTCCCCACTTTAAATGGGGGCAAGAACAAGGCCCATGCCTCACGGGCTGAATTGAGTATTAGGCACTGGTTATGAGATCCTGCTGAACAACAGCAAATGCGATAAACTCAACATCCCTTTGGGAGCTGGCTATCATCTTAAGTGGGGTCCCCTAGAAGCAGAGCCCATGATGGGGATTTCTGTGCATGGATTAACTGGGGCTGGTGTCTGCAGGAGAAGTGGGGGTGAGGGAAGTAGAAGAGGGCCAGGGAAGGAGCTAAGTTAGGCTCCAGCTGGAGAAAGCTTCTGTTGATCCCCCGAGGAACACTGGACTAAGAATTACATCACAGAGCTGGCCTCACCTTCAAACAAGGGTGGGCCTTTTGTATCCCACGTCACTCACGCATTGGCTGGGACCGAACCACCTATGTCTCAGTGGCCAGGCATCATCAGTGACCTCTCCCAGCAGCTGGGGATGTGTGCACCAGCAGGGAAAGGCGATCTGGGAAGGGGGGCCCCAACACCATCCGCCACTCCAGGGACTCCCCTCTTACCATCACATCCCAGGGCTGCACAGACGTCTCTTTTCCACTCCTAAAGCAGACCTGTGTCCCCAGAGCTGCTGCTTCCTGGGCCAACAGCTCCCAGCTGCCCTGGCCCACATTCCAGGTGGGGTCAGCAGGATCCAGGACCAGGGGCCTGTGGGCAGAGTGGGTGGGCAGGCAGGTGGGAAAGGTGGGAATCAGTGAAGGAGCAGGGGGGTGGGAGAGACTAGGGAAGGGTGTGGGAGCTGGGGAGAAGGAGAAGAGTGTCAGGACCTTAGGGTTGGCCCAGTCTCCCTTAAGCATGGTAGTAGGGTTCCTGCCTGGCCACCTAACTCAGGAAGGTACTGGGTGGTCCCTTAATTTCAGAAATGGTATTTTATTTTGTTAATGAAACTGGCCTTGGCTTCTTTGGGTGCTCCTTGTGTCTATGCTTCCTCAGGAAAGAGTTTGGAAGGAAGCACAGTGACAAGTGGGGTTGGGGCACCCAGCTCCCACCCTGGACCCTTCCTGGACACAATGACTCCAGGGCGACAATGGCAGAGGTGAAGGATGATGGAGGGAAGGCAATGGGGAAGTGGGTCTGCACCTCTTTTTCTGAAGCTGGCCAAGAAGGTGTGTTCTGATAGCCGGGTCCTCAAAGCTATAGTTGACCGTCCAGTAGACACAGAGCTGCTGGTGCTGCTGGATAAGTTCTAGGACGGTCTTTAGGCCTTCGGCCGTTTTGAAAGAATCTTTCCCGCAGCCTTGCTCCCAGGCGAAGATGGTCAGGAGCTCCAGAGCATAGACTGGGGGCAGAGAGGCACAGGCTGGCTGCTGTCCTTTGTTCTGAGCTGCGACCTATGTCACCCAAAGCCAATCAAAGAATGAGTGGACATGAGCATCTTACTATGTGCTAAGCATGGCCCCAGGGACTTGGAGAGGGAGGGGTATATAAAAACAAAGCCACGTTAAAAATCGAACCCTTCTGATTTTACAGGGGGATAAACTGAGGTTTGGGTGGGGGAGTGACTTGTCCAAGGTCACACAGTGACCTAAGACTAAGAATCTCAGACTTGGTCTTTGCCTGGAGTCTCTCCTCAAAGGGTGTAAAGGCATGGGGGCTGCAATATCTTCAGCTTGGGATGCCAACATCTGTCACCATAGTGACGTAAGCAGCAGTGGATGCTCAGTAGGTGTTTGTTGAATGAGCACATGACCGCGAGGGCTTTCAGAGAAGTGTTAGGTGGGGCTGCTCTGGAAGATGCTCAGGGGTTATTTAATACAACTTGCACAGAGGACAGTGATGGTGGAACAGCATAAGCTAGGGCTTGGGGGGAGGGGGGAAGGGAGAGCATTAGCAATGGGAGGAGCGAGGAGAAACTGATCAGCTAGAGAGGGGTGGTGAACCCAACCACAAGAAACAAGCACTGGGGGTCTGATGGAGAAAAGACTTCCTCTTAGAGATGGGCTTCCGGTCTGGGCAGGAAGTGGAGAATGGAGATGGAGGAGGTGGTCCTTCTACTGGGGATGGCCAATAAGAAGCGAAGGAAGGGAGATGTCTACCCAGGAGAGGAGCTGATTGGCTGAGGCAGCTGCCATGACAGCAGGGCTTCCCGAGTGGAGCAAGGGGGTCTGGCAGCTTCACCTGACGGTACCAGTGCTTCACCAGCAGGATCAGGTTCTTCAGCTTGGCCGGCCGAGTGTTCACAAAGTTCCTCCGCAGCTCTGAGAAGCAGGCCGCGTGCTCGCCGCCCTGGCAGCCGCTGCTGAGGAGGGTCGAGTAGACCTGGGGCGCGGGTTTGGCGCCAGAGCAGAGCTGCCCTGTGGAAATTTGAAACACTCTGAGGGCAGAGCTCTAACGAAGACATCTGCATGTCCCAACCCAGCCACTCACCAGCCTTTATTAATATTTGAACGTTGATTACATAGCACTGCAATCAACATTACACATTGTACAACAGAACAGCAATCGGGACTCTTTTTTTAAGCACCAAATACGTGCCGTGCTTTTTAGTAATTTTCACTAATGTACCCAATAACTCTGCAAAGTGGGGGATCTTGACCCCAGACAAGCTATGTAGCATAGCGGGTAAGGGAATTAGTTTCCAAGGCACAAGCTGGAGGCAGCCCTCACCCACGGCGTCAAAGACTGGCAGCACAGTCACATCCATCCAGCTTTCTAGGGCCGTGGACACCAGCTGGAACTGCAAAGCCCCGGGCACGGTCCGCTCAGGAAACTTGAGGCTCAGGCCAGGGACTGGGTCCTGCCACCCGGATTCCAGCTGTGCCCACATCTCACTAAGGATCTGTGGGCGGCAGGTGCTTTGGTCCTTGTAGTCGTTGAAGCAGTTGAAGAAAATGACAAGTTCGGCATCGCAGCCACCCCTCAGGTCTGTGCCCCGGCCAAAGGAGCCCCCCTGCAGAGGAAGGACCATCTCAGACCCGCGAGTGTCCCTGAGCTCAGGGGTCAGACTCTGACCCCAACTGCTGGCCCCCATCTGTGGCCCAGACGTGACTGGTTCACTGAGGCCAGGACCGGGGACACCACGACAGAGGCAGGCTGCACGAGGGCTGTGACCTCTGACTCCTGGAAGCCTGGCAGAGTCTGACTACACCTGTCTGCACCTGCCCTCTGATCCCCGGGCCCTGCACAAAATCAGACCAACCTGCAGCAACAGATAACGGGGGGCGGGGGGGGGCGCAGTATTAAAGATTTTGGCCAAACATCTGCAGCACCTACGGATTGCACATCTGGACCACAGGTTGCAAATTGAGGTCCCAGGGCCAGATGGGGCCTGCAGATGTGCTCTGTTGGCCTGTTTCAATCAACCCACCAATCCATCCATCCATCCATCCATCCATTCATTCAACACTTATTTATGGAGCACTCAAGTGTACCAAGATATGGGAGTACATAAAATGTCCCGGCTCTCCCGGAATTTATATTCTAGCAGAGGGGGGAGGAGGGAAGGACAGTCAGCAGACAACAGTTCCCAGAAAATGCTAAGTGCTGTGTGGAGGCAAATCAGTGAGGAAGGGGGACCAGGGGTGGAAGGGAGGTTGTAATTGTAAATTGAGCAGTCAGGCCTCTGTGAGAAGGGGGCTTGGGTCCCAGACTTACAGGAGGGGAAGGAGCCAAGTGGATCAGAGGAAGAGCCTTCCAGAAAGAGACACCAGGATGGTGTAAAGGAAGGTCAGAGAAAGACCCAGGACCAGATCCTATGGGCCGTGAAGCCATTTCTCTCTGTGAAACTGCAGAGGATTTTGAGCAGAGGAGGGAAGCAGTCTGATTATGGTAATAGCAGTTTAAAAACACTATCATTAAAATTTTTTTAAAAGCTGGCACTCAGATATACATCTTGGAGGGCGGCAAACTCCCCTTCCACGGATGTCCACCTGCCTGCTGGCCCTCCGCTCCTTCCCCTCCTCACTGCGGTGCCCCAGGACGGTCCCATCAGTGTCTCCCCCCACAGACTCACCTTGCTGACTCTTGAGGCCTTGTAGACACACTTCTCACGAAGGCGACTCAAGATGACATCGATGGCCTTGCTGACCTGCTTCTGGAACTGGGGGTTTGGTTTCAGGTGGTCCTGGATGAAGCGGTCCAGGTCCTTGGCAGCAATCTGGGACAGACCTGAAGCCGTCCCCAGCGTGGAAGGGATGATGCTGGCTGCCCCCGAGGGGCCAGGAGCTGGGCCTGAGGGCCGCCTGCCCCCTGTCCTGGGGCGCACAGCATGGAGACTGCGGTTCTCCTCAGGGGGCCTCTGGGCAGAGTCTCGCTGGATGGGGTGGTCTAAACCTGCAGCCCCAGCACGTGGAAGGCCCTGGAAGTGTGTAGAAGGAGTTGTCTTACAGGCATAGAAGTTTCCCCATCCCTTCTCTCACCAGCCCCCTCCCAATGGACAGTCAGGGTGACTGAGACTCAGAGTGGGAAGCGGGAGGACTACCGCTAGCCCATACGGTGCCTTTGTGCAGATTAGAAAAGGATGCGCTTGCAGACGGGATCTGTTCTAGAAAGGACCCCTGTGCAGAGGGGACACGGTGTGGCCAGTGGCCAGCAGACAATAAGCCCGTGCACACAGAGGTGTCCCTCCAAGCAGGCTGGGCTTGGTGAACAGCTTGTTCGCGTGTCCGCGCCCCCACTCCCCACTCTGTCCCCCACCCCGGGGCCCCAGAGCCCAGTGGATGATGCTCAGGAAACACTGCGCCCCTGAAGTAGGTGGGGCTTTACACTTAACAAGGATGGATCCCCGGAGCCCCTCACTCACAAGCCTCTCCCAGGGCTGCACAGCGCCCCCTGCCGCCTGCAGAAAGCACGGGCGCTCGTAACAGGACCCTGCCTCCTGCGCCAGTATATCCCAGCGCCAGGATGCACCGTTCCCTACATCCCACGTGGGGTCAGCTGGGTCCAGGATCACAGGCCTGCAAAGCCAGAGAACAGGAAGGTTCTGGTTAGTACAGTGGTCAAGATCGGGGCTTCTGAGGTCAAGCCGAGCTGGTGCCAATCCCCGCTCTTCTACTTCTCAGCTGTGGGACCTGGGGTCAATGACTTCCCTCCTCTGAGCCCGTTTCCTTTTGTCCAAAACGGGGATGACAACAGTGCCTGCTTCGGTGGGCTGATATGGGCTCTTATTAAATCAGGGCAACTTAGATAAGAGTCCTCAACTCTAGATGCACATTAGAATCGTAAGACAGAGGGTTAGGGTTAGGGTCAGGGTTAGGGTTAGGATTAAGGTTAGCCATCTCTTTCCTCCGCGTGCTTCCAACCGGGCATGCGCACAGAAGCACACGTACAAGGTGGCTCCTACCAACCCTCTCCTAGCAGAAACCGCCCGATGTCCACTATCAGCGCACTGGGAAGCGGAGTGTGATAAATCCCCACAATGGAACACGATTCAGCTGCACGAAACAATGCACAGCAATCAACAACACACACAAAGATGCGACAGAACCTCACAAACTTAACGTTGAGGAAGAGACGCCAGACACAAAAGCACGTGCCCTCTGATTCCCTTTCAGTAAGATTTTAAAATAGACAGGACTGGGAGGGTAACAGTCAGAATGGGGTCACCCCGGGGATGTCACTGAGCAGGAGAGAGGAAAGGGAAACTCCCGGGGCGCTGGAAATATTCTCCCTTGATCTGGTGGTGGTTTCCCCTGGACCTTCACTTTATACTAAGTCAACCAAAGGGGCCCTTTGGATGGGTATGCTGTGGGTCGCTAAAATGTTCACGCACACAGTATGTTCACACAAGAAAAATCTTTTTTAAAAACTGCCCCGAGGGGCGCCTGGGTGGCTCAGATGGTTGGGCATCTGCCTTTGGCTCGGGTCATGATCTCCAGGTCCTGGGATGGAGCCCCACATGGAGCTCCCCGTTGAGCAGGAAGTCTGCTTCACCCTTTCTCTGCTTCTCCCCCTGCTTGTGCTCTCTCTCTCAAAGGAATAAATGAAATCTTTAAAAAAAAAAAAAAAAACCTGCCCCGAGAGGGGGGCCTGGGTGGGTCAGTCAGTGAAGCATCTGCCTTCGGCTCAGGTCATAATCTTGGGGTCCTGGGATCGAGCTACATATCGGGCTTCCTGCTCCGCAGGGAATCTGCCTCTCCCTCTGCCCCTGCACCCCTCCTTGTGCTCTCTCTCTCTCAAATAAACAAAATCTTTAAAAACAAAACTGCCCCAAGAGATTGCAGTTTCCCTCTGGGGCCGAGTCCAAGGGACTAGGAACTGCACGGACGGCGCCTGGCTCCAGCCCCCACAAAGACCCGCAGGAGAGGAGACTTTTTTTTTTAACATTTTATTTATTTATTTGACAGAGATCACAAGTAGGCAGAGAGGCAGGCAGAGAGAGAGGAAGGGAAGCAGGCTCCCCGCTGAGTAGAGAGCCTGATGTGGGGCTCGATCCCAGGATCCTAAGATCATGACCTGAGCCGAAGGCAGAGACTTTAACCCACTGAGCCACCCAGGCACCCCGAGGAGACTTATTTTATCGTTGCTAATGATCTCCCGTGGCCCCCAGCCCAGGAGAGTGGGGAGGGGGGTGTGGGGAGGTACCTGGGTCTCTCGAGCTGCTGCCTCAAGAAGCGGCTGACCGCAGTGTCCTCGAAGCCATAGTGCAGGGTCCAGAAGACACACAGGTGCCGATACTGCTTGATCAGACCCAGCACCGTCCGCAAGCCTTGGGCCAGGCTGAAGGCATTCTTCCCGCAGCCCTGCTCCCAGGCGAAGATGGTCAGCAGCTCCAGGGCATAGGCTGGAGGCAGCACCCCCCTCCTTGCCTCCTCCCGGCACACCTGTGAGAGGGTGAATCGGAGGGGAAGGAGAGAGCTTTCTGCAGAACTTGGCTGGATCGCTCAGTCTTGGGGCTGCAGGAGCCCGGAGGCTGAAGCTAGGGACGAGAGGCTGGGTTCTAGGAACAAACTGATCTTTCTCAGCTGCCCCCACTCCTGGAGCTTCAGCCTCCAGCTCCTGGGACTGGGAGCAGTCAGAGAGAGGCTAGCGGGCAGTGTGAGGCTGTTACTGATTCCCCCAAATGAAAGCATGGCAGAAATTGTCCGGGGTCAGAGGGCAAGTCAGTGGCTGAGCAAGGATGGCTATCCGGCACCTCCTCATACCAGACTTGTTTAGGATGAGTGGTCTGGTCCAAGGACCAAGCTACATGCCCTGCGATTTTGTGGGGCTGACCCCTCCTCTCCAGGCACAGGCTGGGCACTCCTTCCGCCATACACAAGGGTCTATCCACAAACATGAATATCTTGGAAGGAGGGTGTTATTCCTGAGGCTGGGACGGGAGGTGTACAAACTCCATGTTACTTCATACTATACATAAAATATTCCAGATAGTTTCAAAGCCTTGAAACTACAGGAAAAGAAAAATCTTAAAACCTTTCCAAAGGAAACACGGAAGAATGATTTTAGAAAGTCAGGATAGGCAAAGCCTTCTTACACAAGACACAAAGTACAAATCACGTAAGAAAATGATGAGGGCACCTGATTCCATTAAAATTCAAACATTTTCTGTGACAAAAGACCTATGAACAAAGTGAAAGTACCAGCCTGGGATTAGGAGAACAGATTTGCATTATATCAACACAATAAGGATTTGCACCCAGAATATATAAAGAGTTCCAAAAAACCAACAACAACAAGACAGCTAATGCGGTAGAAAATAATAAACAAATGACAGGAACAGGCAAGTTCCCATAAAGAGACACATGAATGGCTGTGAAGCCTAAGAAAATATTCTCGCTGGCATGAAATCACAAATTTAAACAGTCACGAGTGGCTGGTGCAAGGACCCTCGGTGGCAGCCTCACCTGACGGTACCAGTGCTTCACCAGCAGGATCAGGCTCTTCACCTTTGCCGGGCGAGTGTTCACAAAGTTCCTCCGCAGCTCTGAGAAGCAGGCTGCGTGCTCGCCGCCCTGGCAGCCGCTGCTGAGGAGGGTCGAGTAGACCTGGGGCACGGGTTTGACGTTGGAATTGAGTGGCCCTGGGGGTGGGAGGTGCTGTGAGTCAGGATAGGTTCTGAGGCACAGGATGGAGACACTGGGGGGAATTTGGTGGCAGGGGATCCACAGCATGGGAGTTTGGAGGATGAGGAAGAGAGCCTGGAGCTTCTCAGGAGGCTGAGACCAGAAGGAGGAGTCCCTTCCTTCCAAACCTAGGGCCAGGCTGAAGGAGGGCAGCCGTAGGAGCGATCCTTCCAGCTGGGTTGGGAGTGCCTAGAACCTCGCAGTTCTTCCCTCCCCGAGGCTTCCTGGGGCAGCGCTAGAATAACGCCAAACATACCTTTAATTAATCAGTGCCTTAGGGAAAGGAAATGAAGCTGGAAAAGTAGAAGGCAAAAGGTCCTGATGCTTTAGCAGCGAGCGACAGCTAATATGTCTGGTGCGCCCAACACGCCAGACAGGCACCGGGCTGAACGTTTCACATGAGTCCCCCAGAGCCCCACCAAAACCCGATCAGGCAAGTAGTCTTCACCTCATTTCACAGCTGAGGACCCCAAGGCACAGAGTCACTCAGGACTCTTCCCAAAGTTACACAGCCGGCCAGTGATGGAGACAGGATGGGAACCTAAAGCGGGCCAGCTTCACAGTCTGTGCCTTTCCCTCCGCAGCTTCCCATGGGCCCGGCCTGGGAAAAGTAAGCACACTCCGTAATTTCCGAGGTTCCTGACACCGCCTGCTTGCTGTGTGACTTTGGGTGAGTTACTGTCTGTCTCTGTGCTTCAGCGTCCCTCTTGGTGAAAAGGAAGCTAAGACAGTATAGGCCCCATCAGTTTGTTTGGAATGAGATAAAAATATGTCAGGTGCTTGGAATAGGGAAGCATTTAATAAGGAGTAGCTATTGTGATTAATGTTTATGTACCAAGAGGATGGGTGTCCAGATGGGGGAGAGTGTGGCTCTCTGCCAGGACCTCATAACTGGAGAAACTCAAGAGGGCTATCTGCAGGGGCATCATGGTTAATAATAATAATAGTGGAAAATGAGGAGGAGGAGGAGGAGGGGGAGGAAGGAAAGGGGGGAGGGGGAGGGAGGAAAGGGGGGAGGGGGGGAGAAAGGGGAGGGAGAGAAGAAGAGAAGCAAGCCCTCATACAGCCCCACCATGTGCCCAGTACCGTCATCCCATACACGAACACACAGTCTTTCCAAAAACTCCATAAAATGGATAACTAGTGTCCCATTATTATTAATCCCATTTTATAGATGCGGGCACAGGGGCTCATTATTATATTAAATCAGGCATGGGTATATTAGGAAGGGGAACACGAAGATCACATTGATGCTTTTAAGATAAAAGACAAGACTTTGCAGAATCCTGGCCTTGTCCCCAGCCCCCTACTGCCGGACGCATGCCCCTTTGCCTTCTCCTTTGGGGTATTTGTGGAAGAGCTGAGCAGTACAGTTCTAGGCAGTGGCTGAAGGAAAGTTGCTTAAGCGAGGGCCAAGCATCTGGACACCAAGACCACAGACCCAGGAGCAACTGGGCTTTCTTGGCCCAGACTCAGTATGGGCAGTGAGGACACCAGAGCCCAGAGACGGTTCCCCAGGCCACACAGAAGGTCGGGGGCGGTGGGGGGGATGGTGGGGGCGGTGGGGGGCGGGACAGGACCCAAACTGGAAGCTCTGTCTTACTCCTAATGATCACACCCCCAAGCCTGGAAAGGGCCAGGCACCCCTCACCCAGAGCGTCAAAAGCCGGCACCAAGCTGACATCCATCCAGTGTTCAAGGTCCGGGGATGCCAGGCGGAACCATAGGACCCCAGGCCTGTCCTGCCGAGGAAACTCGAAGCTCAGACCATGGATGGGTTTCTGCCACCAGGATTGTAGCAAGGTCTGCAGCTCGCTGAGGATCTCTGCCCGGCGAACACGCTGATCCTCGTAGCTCTTGAAGCAGGTGAGGAAGAGGACAAGTTCAGAATCACAGCCACCGCTCAGAGCCGTGCCCCGGCCATCAGAGCCTCCCTACAAAGAAAGGGGAGACCGTGGGCACACAGCTCCTGGCATTCGATCCATGTAGAAAGGCACATTGAGCACAGCCGGCCCTGCGTTTTCGAGAAAAGCCAACTTCATTTACAAATCTTTCATTTCTAAATGTTGGCAACCGATGTCGACCATTGTTGTGAGTTCAAAATTTTTAAGTTTTTTTAAAAATGAAAACTGTGGGTGAAACAAATTCTGTTTTGCAGAACACATTTGTGACCTTTGCCTGGGATGTGGTCCAGAGCTATAATAGGACCCCCTGAATTTTCGGAACTTTTCTGACAGGTGTTTCTTCCTGTAAAGCCGTCCACCGAGGACTCCAGAGGGAAACACACACGATCAGAATCTCCCCCCTGTCAAATGTCTGCCAAACCATAATTTCACTTCCAAGCAATACCCCTGATGTGGTTTCCTTGTGGTTACACAAGACAGGGAGGTTGGGGGAGGGGTGAGTTGAGTAACAGCCAGAAAAGACCAGAACCAGGGTTAGCCCTCCAGGGGCACCTCCCCCACCAAGCTGGGATCGCTCATTACCCCAATGGTATCCCAGTTCCTTTGTCGCCAGCTCCTCACATCGGGGGCTGCCAACCAAGGGGTAACGGGGCAGAGCAAAGAGAAATATTGCAGACTGAGCTCTTTTACACACAATCGTCTCGCTGAGGCTCCCTAACAAGCCTGGGAGAAAGGTATCACCATTGCTCTCACTTCACCAAGGAGGAAACAGGGGAAACGAAAGTGCAGGGCAGGTTGCTTACCAACTCCCCGCCTCTCTGGGCGGCACCGGGTGCTTTGAACTCAGGAGGTCAACTCTGGGAGGTCTGAGGTCCCGTTCCAAGCCTACATTCTTCATGCACCCCTCCCCCATAGATTAACTCACTAAAAAATACTGTTTATTGTGAACGTTTCTAAACCTACACAAAAGAAGAAAGGGTTGAAAAGAAGACCTTTGCCACATTTGCTCCATTAATTCGACCCCTCTTTTCTTCCTTATGCGATTTATTTATTTTTTTTTATATTTTATTTATTTATTTGACAGAGATCACAAGTAGGCAGAGAGTCAGGCAGAGAGAGAGGAGGAAGCAGGCTCCCCATGGAACAGAAAGCCCGATGCAGGGCTCGATCCCAGGACCCTGGGATCATGACCCGAGCTGAAGGCAGAGGCTTAACCCACTGAGCCACCCAGGCGCCCCTCTCATGTGATTTAAAAAGAAATTCCTGCCACTGTGTCATTTCATCTTGAACATGGTGGTCCCCAGTGGGGGGCTGGTGGTGACATTTGTCCCAGGGGACATTTGGCAATGCCAAGAGACGTTTTCGGTGGTCCTAGCTGGAGCAGGGGAGCCCCTTCATGTTGGCCCTGGGGGAGGGGTGTCTTCTGACAGGACTCCAGAGGCCGGCCACGACTTCCTTGCTTTCTGGTCTACCTAGAAGCCCCAGGCTCATGTCGCACATCTTACCCCCGCCCTGGAATCAGCCGTTCTTCCAAGGAGCCCCTTCCGCAGGGAGCAGCATCTCAAGACTGGAAAGGTAGCCCGTAGCCCTTACCTACTTCACCATGGCCTCCTTCAAAGCCTGGAACAATCAGAAGGCCATAAGCTACATTCAGCCACGAGAGCTATTTCCAGATTTTCCAGGGAAGCGAAGGATGCCAAAGCTTTAGAGGTTCCTAAATTCTTGCTCCAAAGAAATTCTTCCTGTCCACCTCCAAGGCAGAAATCTACCTCCACATCTCATAGGCTTCGAGTCTCTCCTTCTCCTTCCCCTTTCCTACCTCCCAAGCCAAGCCTCAGCCCTAGGAAACCACCAGCTGCTCTGGGGTCATCCCCTGCTCATTCCTTCCCGGACAAGCTCCAAGTCCCCTCTACTCCAGCCAGCTTCCCCTGATGCAACCCTGGTGCCCCTGAGTTTGTGCTGAGGGTCTCATGGGTGACTCCTCCCTGAGTTTGTGGGCATCCTGAGGTGACAAAAAGTGGCCTGCGGCAGTGGCTCACCCACATCCAGTCCCAGTTTCTGAAGTCCTAAAACAGGGACAATAATCCCCACCTCACTGAATGTGAGGATTAAGCGAGATGACTCATTTAACAAGATGATTATTGTTATTGGGTAGTTTCTCAGTAAATTAGGCTATTATGGCTATTATAGCTGTTATAGAATACCTGTGATTCTGCACCCTTAGGATCAGGCTGTGGTGTGAGGACTGGAGTCTGTCTGGACCAGGTGAAGGACTGAATGAGTCAATGAATTTTGGATTTTTTCCAAGCGTGGAAACATTATTTCGTCTCTGTGCCTCAGTTTCCCATGTGTCAGGTGGGGTTAATTGTCCCTACCCGGCGGGGCTGTGGTGTGCTGTCTATTTTCAGGGCACTTCCAACAGCGCTGGCACATAGCACGTGTGTTGTTTAAATCTCAAAGACATGAATGAAAAGAGCCAATAGAAACCATCCCTGTCCGCGAATCCCGAGGTAATGTGCTAACATCCTCCGAGGATTGCTCCTGTTTCTAGGTGACACCCCCCACCCCTTCCCAAGGTGCCTACCTTGGCGATTTTCAGCACCCTCCAAGGCTGGGCAGCCGCGCGGCCCCCGCGCTCACGCAGGGAGGCTGCCAGGTCGCCCAGGGCGCGCCGCGCAGCCGCCAGGAACTCGGAGGACGGCAGCAGGTTGCGGGCCACCAGGCTGTCCAGCGCGGCAGCGGGGGTGTGGTACACGTCCATGGCCCGGCTCAGGTACCCTGGTGCGCCCCGGCTTCCCGGCTTCCCTCTCGCGCTCTGCTTGCTCCCCGGTGCCTGCAAACCTCAGGCCTCCTCGGCTGTGCGCGCAGAGGCCGGGGGTGGGGCGGCACTGTTGCCCCAGCCTGCCCACGCGTCCCTCCTTCCCAACCTCGCAGACATGCCACTCCCCTCCCGCTTTCAGTTTCATTTCTTTTCCGCAGCTCCGGACTTTTGCACACACTTCCGCCTTTCAGGCCCAGGCCTGGTTTCTTTTCCTCCACCTCCCGGCTTCCAGCCCTGGGCCCGCCTCCCCTGGACCCGCCCCCCCGCCCCGCCCCGCCCCGCCCCGCCCCGCCGCCAGCTCCAGTGGGCAGCGCACGCCTGAACAAGACGCCTGGACAGCAGCAGGTGCACAGAGCGCAAGCGCTCTCACCGAACCACGGACCCTGAGCATTTAAGAAACGTGCAGGATTCACGGGAGGACGTGGTCACACCTCCGGCTGAGCAGCCTGGAGGAGCCCGTTTCCTCAGAGATCCCCTGGCTGGCTCTCTGGCTGAAGGAGGCATTCCAAACATCCCCACTAACAAAGAAAACATGCAGAACAGGTGTCCCTCCTGCTTTTCGTCCATCCTCCCATTGAGTTCTCCCAACAATCAGGATGTAATTGTTATTCTTTTTTTTTTTTAAAGATTTTATTTATTTGACAGAGAGAGAGATCACAAGTAAGCAGAGAGGCAGGCAGAGAGAGAGGGGGAAGCAGGCTCCCCGCTGAGCAGAGAGCCCGATGCGATGCGGGGCTCTATCCCAGGACCTTGAGATCATGACCTGAGCGGAAGGCAGAGGCTTAACCCACTGAGCCACCCAGGCGCCCCTGTTTCGTTTTTTTAATCCTTGTTGCCTCGCGTAGTGTTTTCCCACATAGGACAGGCATAGTGTCAATGTCTCTTGAATGAATGAAATTAGGACCATTTTTTTTTTTAAACTTCAAGCGTATCATTCTGGAGTCCGTCTGTAAGAATTATTTTAAGGAGGAGAAAGGAGGAAGGAAGTTCAGCGTAGAAGATGCCTCACACAATACTACATTTTATGACGTTATAAAGCTACGAGGGGAGTTAAGTCTCTTTGGGCACCTGCACAAAGCGAGGCAGTTGCTCCTCTACCCAGTGGACCAGAACCTGAGCTCATTCCCTGTCCATCTCCTCCTCCTCCTCCATCTGAAGTTGCTCAAAACTTCACTAGTCCTCTGTCTCATCGCTCAGGGTTATACTCTGATTCGGAGTGTATCTCCAGCAGCAATGAATGTTAATGAGGACTTCCTGAATTCTGCCTTAACCTAAAGGGAACAGAGGGTGAACTTCAGAGTTCATAGTGAACCAGAGGAAGAGATGCCAGACTATCACTGTGTGCACCGGGTTTGTATTTTGGGGAGTGAGTGGCACATCCCTGGGAGGTATTCAAGTGTAGGAAGAAGATGGTTTTGTAGGCTTGATGTTGTGGAGAGGTGCTGGGGGGCTTCAAGCTAGATGCCCTCAGCACAGAGCCCTGGTTTCATGCTCTCCCATCCATTAGTCATCTTCTTGATTCACAGGTCACTTTAGAAATCCCCCATGGGGGGATGGTATACTGTACACGCCCACGAGATTCTACCCAAATGACAGCAAAGATATGTTAAAAGTATTGTGCGGCTCACTCAATGGATTGGAAATCAAGAAAGATTGCTGTCAAGGGACCAGAACATTTGAGGGATGTTGAGAAAGGAGAAAGCAGAGGGTCAAGATTTTGGATGAAGATGGTGGGCTGCTCACGTCCACAAGCCTTCAACTACTGCCCTAGACTCCAGAAATCACAGGGAAGGGATGAAGAAAATGTACTTATGTTGCTGGACCCTGAGTCAAAGCACCACTGGTGAGCAGAAGCTGTGAGACCCCTGACCCAAGGGCAGGATGGGATGGAGGAGGAGAACTTAGGTCTGAAACACAGAAGGAAGAAAGTGCTTCTGCAGGTTGGGGAGGGCTCTGAGGAGCTGGAGGGAGGGAGGGACTCAAAGGGGTGAGCAGGGAGGGCTTTGTGTGGGTGGCTGGGAGCGCTAACTCTGGTCTTCAAAAGTGAGATTACTTTAAAATTCCTCTTTTCTTGAGCTGGGGGGACCTCAGCATCAATTCTGGACCTCCAGCTTCATACCACGCGTTTCCTCGCTTTGCCGGCCTTCTGGCTGTGCCCTCATCTCTGTGGACTATAAGTTACTTTTCTCAGTTTCATTTCCTTGCCAGGAAGTGGGGCAAGACCTCTGAGAATGTAGAAGTGTGTGACTGAGGCACTGCAATTTTCATCTGATCACTTCCTTCCTCCTTACACAGCTGCCCCTCTGTTGCCAAACATCATGACTTTGTGTGCAGGAACCAGCAGCTCAGCATACCAGCGCCTAGAGCTTTCTATAAACCTGGGCCGGCTGGCTTTGCATAAGCTACCAGAGCTTAGCAGGAGAGAAATGCTTATCCAAAATGCTTTATTATTTTTGCAAGAAAAATTCCTTTATTGTGGTCATAGAATAATACAAGTTTATTGCACAAAATTGACAAAGTCAATTTCCAGTGCCCAACTGGGTGGCTCAGTTGGTTAAATGTCTACCTTCGGCTCAGGTCCTGATCTCAGGGGGGAGTCTGCTTCTCCCACTCACTCTGCCCCTCCTCCCACTTGTGCTCTCCTGCTCTCTCTCTCTCAAATAAATAACAAATAAAAATATTTAAGAAGACATTTAGGTCTTCCAGGAACCAAATGCTACAAAATATAATTAAAGATACTGAGTACAGTAACATAGAAACAAATATGTAAGACTAATATGACAGAGGACATGAGATATGTACTCAGTGAAAAATTATAATAGTTACAGTGTCATTAAAAAAATCAGTGAAGAGAAACTCCAAGTTCATGGATGGCGGTCTCACTAGAACATCGATGACATTCTTCCTAAACTTATTTATATGATTCCAATCCACTGCCTCCCCATATTTTGGGTGGAAATTCATACATTGAGTGAAAATTAACATAGAAATAGAGAGGGCTACAGGAGACCAGGGCTTCCCCCCCATATAAGATTTATTTATTATTACTTTTTAATAGTAACCATGATTTCCAGGAGACTCTCCCGTGCATTTACAAAGATTAATTGCTTTCACTGTTGGAAGCAGAATAATTGAGATAAGTGCATTTGGCTAGGAAAAGGGAAAAACATTTTGAGTTTAGATTCTAACAGCTGATTCCAATTTGGATTACTATTATTATTTTTAATTTCCGTGTATTTAACATACAGTCTTATATTAGTTTGAGGGGCACCAGACAGTGATTGAGTAATTCCGTACATTATTCAAGGTAAGTGTGCTCCTGATCTCCTTTATTTGTTTGACACCCCTCCCCAGTCCCCACTGCTGGCAACCACCTGTTTAGTCTCTATAGTTATGAGTCTGTTTTGGTTTGTCTCTTTTTTCCTTTGTTCGTTTGTTTTGTTTCTTAAACTCCACATAGTAATGAAATCATATGGTATTAATCTTTCTCCGACTGGCTTATTTCACTTTGCGTTATACTCTCTAGATCCATCCATGTTGTGACGAATGGCAAGATTTCAGGCTTGTTTATGGCTGAGTAATATTCCATTGCATATATACACCACACCTTCTTTGTCCATTCTTCAATCAATGGGCACTTGGGCTGCTTCCATAATTTGCCTGTTGTAAATAAGGCTGTAATACACATAGGGATGCATGTATCTTTTCGAATCAGTGTTTTTGTATTCTTTGGGTATAAACCTGGTGGTCTGGGTAACTCCATAAAGCTTATGTAGGATTAAATGTGCAAGAGAAATTGAGGAGGAAGATGGGAGCCTCCGGGAAAGTGGGTAGGCCTTGATTGTTGGAGTCTGAGTCTGACTCTGAACGAAGGCAAGAAGTTAAGAGAAGCTGACTTTGCAGTCTAGAGAAGGTCAGCAAGACCAGTGGGGAGTCCTTTAGCCCCGTGACTTGTCAGAGGAGCCCCATGTCTCCCAGGAACAGGGCTGCCTTAGTGCCCCTGCCCCACTGAGCAGCCCATGTGCGGGGTGACTTGGCTGTCAGCATGTGGATGGATTTGGAAGGACAGCAGCTGGGACTCCCTCTCCTGGGAGCTCCCTGGGCTAGGTGTCTTCTCGGGGTTGCCAGAGTGGGGAATGAAGATGCATTAAGACCATGCAGCAGTGATCAAGGGCATGATGAGATCCCGAGCAAGGACTAGGGTTCAAGTTTAGGCTCTGTCTCTCGCTTGCCAGGTGACCCCAAGCAATTGCCCTGACCTCAGTGTGTTATTATGGTAACAAGAATAAAACCCAACTCACAGGGATGCTGGAGACTTAAAAGCAGGAGTAGGAAGATGGACAAGCCCAAGACTTGTTCAGCCACTCGAGGTGACCAGCGACCCAGGTGACAAGAGCATGCTTGGTCCTGGATTGTTTTTTGTTTTGTTTTTTGTTTTTTATTTCGAGCCTTGTAAATGAAATGCTGGTTTTGGTACCAAGGATGAGACAGTGTGGCAATGTCTGATTGCCTAGTGTACTCTTGAATCCAGAGAGTCACCTTCTGGGACAGAGCTGTGGAATATATAGAAATCAAAGGTGTGCCACAGGGTATAATTTTAACATTTTTAGGAGCCGCGGTAAAAAGCAAAAAGAAACAGAGAAGTCTGCTTGATTTAACTCAATATCTCAAAAAGTTTTGTCATTTCAACATGCAATCAGTATAAAACATGATCAGTTGTCAAGAATGTGACATTCTTGGAGTGCTTGGGTAACTCAGTGGGTTTAAGGGTCTGCTTTTGGCTCAGGTTGCCATCCCGAGGTCCTGGGATCAAGCCCCGCATCGGGCTTTCTGCTCAGCGGGGAGCAGAGAGGGAGTTTCTCCCCTTCCTTCTGACCGCCCCCCACTCATGCTCTCTCTCTTTCTCTCAAATAAATAGTCTTAAAAAAAAAAAAAGAATGCGACATTTTTCTTTTTGGTGTGTGTGCGCTAAGTCTCTGAAACCAGGCATGTGTTTAACAAACTCCCCCCAGCACATCTGGAATTAGACCAGCTGC